GCTCAGGTGGGGCTCAGGTGGGCACAGGTGAGCTCAGGTGGGGCACAGGTGAGCTCAGGTGGGGCTCAGGTGAGCTCAGGTGAGGCTCAGGTGAGCTCAGGTGAGCTCAGGTGGGCTCTGGTGAGCGCAGGTGGGCTCAGGTGGGGCACAGATGGGGCTCAGGTGAGCACAGGTGAGGCTCAGGTGAGCTCAGGTGAGCTCAGGTGGGCTCAGGTGAGCTCAGGTGAGGCTCAGGTGGGCTCAGGTGGGCACAGGTGGGCACCTGAACCCCAAATTTGACACCTGAGCCCCAAATTCGACACCTGAGAGCCCCAAATTTGGCTCAGGTGCTCCAGGTAACTCAAATTCAACACCTGAGCCCTGAAATTGGGACCTGAGAATCCCAAATTTGGGGATTTTGGGGCTGAGGTGCTCCAGGAATTCCCAAATTTGGGGATTTTGGGGCTCAGACACTCCAGGAATTCCCAAATTTGGGGATTTTGGGGCTCAGACACTCCAGGAATTCCCAAATTTGGGGATTTTGGGGCTCAGACACTCCAGGAATTCCCAAATTTGGGGATTTTGGGGCTCAGGTGCTCCAGGAATTCCCAAATTTGGGGATTTTGGGGCTCAGGTGCTCCAGGAATTCCCAAATTTGGGGATTTTGGGGCTCAGGTGCTCCAGGAATTCCCAAATTTGGGGATTTTGGGCCCCAATCCCGCGTTTTTCCCGTTCCCAGATCATCCGAACCTTCCGGATCGAGACCCGCAAAGCCTCCAAGGCCGTGGCCCGGCGCAAGGTGAGGGGGAAATCCGGGAATTCCGTGGGAATTGGGGGAAAATCCGGGAATTCCGTGGGAATTGGGGGAAAAAAAACGGGAATTCCGTGGGAATTGGGAAATGGGAATGGGGAAAATCCGGGAATTCCGTGGGAAATGGGGGAAAAATCCGGGAATTCCGTGGGAATTGGGGAGAAAAACGGGAATTCCGTGGGAATTGGGGGAAAATCCGGGAATTCTGTGGGAAATGGGGAAAAATCTGGGAATTCCGTGAGAAATGGGAAATGGGAATGGGGAAAAAACCCCAGGAATTCCGTGGGAATTGGGGGAAAATCCGGGAATTCCGTGGGAAATTGGGGGAAAATCCGGGAATTCCGTGGGAAATTGGGGGAAAATCCGGGAATTCCGTGAGAAATGGGAAATGGGAATGGGGAAAAAAACCAGGAATTCCGTGGGAAATGGGGGAAAATTCTGGGAATTCCGTGGGAATTGGGGGAAAAAAACGGGAATTCCATGGGAAATGGGGAAAAATCTGGGAATTCCGTGAGAAATGGGGAATGGGAATGGGGAAAAAAACCAGGAATTCCGTGGGAAATGGGGGAAAATCCGGGAATTCCGTGGGAAATGGGAAATGGGAATGGGGAAAAAAAACAGGAATTCCGTGGGAAATGGGGGAAAATCCGGGAATTCCGTGGGAAATGGGGAAAAATCTGGGAATTCCATGGGAAATTGGGGAAAAAATGGGAATTCCATGGGAAATGGGAATGGTGAAAAAAACAGGAATTCCATGGGAAATGGGGGAAAAAAACCAGGAATTCGGGTGGGAAATGGGGGAAAATCCGGGAATTCCATGGGAATGGGGAATGGGGAATGGGAATTCAATGGGAATGGGAATAAACTGGGATTTTTTTATTTGGAATGGGAATAAATTGGGATTGATTTATTTGGGAATAAACTGGGATTGATTTATTTGGGAATGGGAATAAATTGGGATTGATTTATTTGGAATGGGAATAAACTGGGATTGATTTATAATAAACTGGGATTGATTTATCTGGGAATAAAATGGGATTGATTTATCTGGGAATAAATTTGGATTGATTTATTTGGAATGGGAATAAATTGGGATTGATTTATTTGGAATGGGAATAAAATAGGATTGATTTATAATAAACTGTGATTTTTTATTTGGAATGGGAATAAATTGGGATTTTTTTATTTGGAATGGGAATAAATTGGGATTGATTTATCTGGGAATAAATTGGGATTTTTTTATTTGGAATGGGAATAAATTGGGATTTTTTATTTGGAATGGGAATAAATTGGGATTTTTTTTGGGATTTTTTTATTTGGAATGGGAATAAATTGGGATTTTTTATTTGGAATGGGAATAAATTGGGATTTTTTATCTGGAATGGGAATAAACTGGGATTGATTTAAAATAAATTGGGATTTTTTATTTGGAATGGGAATAAACTGGGATTGATTTAAAATAAATTGGGATTTTTTATTTGGAATGGAAATAAACTGGGATTGATTTATTTGGAATGTGAATAAACTGGGATTGATTTATCTGGGAATAAATTGGGATTGATTTATTTGGGAATGAAATTGGGATTTTTTTATTTGGAATGGGAATAAATTGGGATTTTTTATTTGGAATGGGAATAAATTGGGATTTTTTATTTGGAATGGGAATAAACTGGGATTTCCCAGCTCCTTTTCCCGATTTTCTTCTCCCCCCTCCCAGAACTGGAAGAAATTCGGGAATTCCGAGTTCGACGCCCCCGGGCCCAACGTGGCCACGACGACCGTGAGCGACGACGTCTTCATGACCTTCATCACCAGCAAGGAGGTGAGGGACACCTGGGGACACAAAAACACACCTGGGGACACCAAAAACACACCTGGGGACAGCAAAAACACACCTGGGGACAGCAAAAACACACCTGGGGACACCTGGGGACAGCAAAAACACACCTGGGGACACCAAAAACACACCTGGGGACACACCTGGGACACCTGGGGACACAAAAACACACCTGGGGACACCAAAAACACACCTGGGGACACCTGGGGACACCAAAAACACACCTGGGGACACAAAAACACACCTGGGGACACCTGGGGACACACCTGGGGACACCTGGGGACACCAAAAACACACCTGGGGACACCAAAAACACACCTGGGGACACCTGGGACAGGTGGGGACACCTGGGGACAAGTGGGACACCTGGGACAGGTGTGTCCCCAGGTGTGCCAGGTGTCCCCAGGTGTGCGAGGTGTCCCCAGGTGTGTCCTGGGTGTCCCTAAGTGTCCCCAGGTGCCCCCAGCTGTGCTCAGGTGTGCCCAGGGGGTTATCAGGGGTACCCAGGTGTGCCCAGGTACACTCAGGTGTGCTCAGTGTGTTATCAGGGGTACCCAGGTGTGCTCAGGTGTGCCCCAGGTGTGCTCAGGTGTGCTCAGTGGGTTATCAGGGGTACCCAGGTGTGCTCAGGTGTGCCCCAGGTGTGCCCTAGGGGGTTATCAGGGGTACCCAGGTGTGCCCCAGGTGTCCCCAGGGGGTTATCAGGGATACCCAGGTACACTCAGGTGTGCTCAGGTGTGCTCAATGGGTTATCAGGGATACCCAGGTGTGCCCAGGTGTGCTCAGGTGTGCCCTAGGGGGTCATCAGGGGTACCCAGGTGTGCTCAGGTGTGCTCAGTGGGTTATCAGGGATACCCAGGTGCCCCCAGGTGTGCCCTAGGGGGTTATCAGGGATACCCAGGTGTGCCCCAGGTGTCCCCAGGGGGTTATCAGGGGTACCCAGCTGTGCCCAGGTGTGCCCAGGTGTGCTCAGTGTGTTATCAGGGATACCCAGGTGTGCCCAGGTGTGCCCAGGTGTGCTCAGGTCCCTCACCTGCCCCACAGGACCTGAACTGCCAGGAGGAGGAGGACCCCATGAACATCCCTTAGTGTCCCCAGGTGTCCCCAGGGGGTTATCAGGTGTGCCCAGGTGTGCTCAGGTGTGCCCAGGTGTGCTCAGGTGTGCTCAGGTGACCTCACCTGCCCCACAGGACCTGAACTGCCAGGAGGAGGAGGACCCCATGAACGTCCCTTAGTGTCCCCAGGTGTCCCCAGGTGTCCCCAGGGGGTTATCAGGGGTACCCAGGTACACTCAGGTGTCCCCAGGTGTGCTCAGGTGTGCTCAGGTCCCTCACCTGCCCCACAGGACCTGAACTGCCAGGAGGAGGAGGACCCCGTGAACGTCCCTGGGTGTGCCCCAGGTGTCCCCAGGTGTCCCTTAGTGCCCTCAGGTGTCCCCAGGGGGTTATCAGGGGTACCCAGGTGTGTCCAGGTGTGCCCAGGTGTCCCCAGGGGGTTATCAGGTGTGCTCAGGTGTACCCAGGTGTGCCCAGGTGTGCCCAGGTGTGCTCAGGTGCCCTCACCTGCCCCACAGGACCTGAACTGCCAGGAGGAGGAGGACCCCATGAACGTCCCTTAGTGTCCCCAGGTGTCCCCAGGTGTCCCCAGGGGGTTATCAGGGGTACCCAGGTACACTCAGGTGTCCCCAGGTGTGCTCAGGTGTGCTCAGGTCCCTCACCTGCCCCACAGGACCTGAACTGCCAGGAGGAGGAGGACCCCATGAACATCCCTGGGTGTGCCCCAGGTGTCCCCAGGTGTCCCTTAGTGCCCTCAGGTGTCCCTTAGTGCCCTCAGGTGTCCCCAGGGGGTTATCAGGGATACCCAGGTACACTCAGGTGTGCCCAGGTGTGCTCAGGTGTGCTCAGGTCCCTCACCTGCCCCACAGGACCTGAACTGCCAGGAGGAGGAGGACCCCATGAACAAGCTGAAGGGACAGAAGATCGTGTCCTGCCGCATCTGCAAGGGCGACCACTGGACCACGCGCTGCCCCTACAAGGACACGCTGGGGCCCATGCAGAAGGAGCTGGCCGAGCAGCTGGGGCTGTCCACGGGCGAGAAGGAGAAACTCCCGGGGGGTGAGAACCTGAATCCCTGTTTTTTTGGGAATTTTGGGGATTTTTCCCGGTTTTTCCCTGGTTTTTATGTGGTTCTGTGAGCGCTGGTGGCCCCGAGGTCACGGTGGTGGCCCCGGGCAGAAGGAGCTGGCCGAGCAGCTGGGGCTGTCCACGGGGGAGAAGGAGAAACTCCCGGGGGGTGAGAACCTGAATCCCTGCTTTTTTGGGGAATTTTGGGAATTTTTCCCCGTTTTTACCCCGTTTCTGTGTGGTTCTGTGAGTGGTGGTGGCCCCAAGGTCGCTGTGGTGGCCCCAAGGTCGCTGTGGTGGCCCCGGGCAGGAGGAGCTGGCCGAGCAGCTGGGGCTGTCCACGGGCGAGAAGGAGAAGCTCCCGGGGGGTGAGAGCCACAATTCCTGCTTTTTTGGGGAATTTTGGGAATTTTTACCCCATTTCTATGTGGTTCTGTGAGCGGTGGCAGCCCCGAGGTCACGGTGGTGGCCCCGAGGTCGCCCTGGCAGCCCCGAGGTCACGGTGGTGGCCCCGGGCAGAAGGAGCTGGCCGAGCAGCTGGGNGCCCCGCCCCCTCCTCCCGCCTTTCCCGCCTTTTTCCTGCTTTTCCCGCCTTTTTCCTGCTTTTCCCGCCTTTTTCCTGCGGTTTGATCCTGCTTTTCCCGCCTTTTTCCTGCTTTTCCCGCCTTTTTCCTGGGGTTTGATCCCGCTTTTCCTGCCTTTTTTTCCTGTTTTCCTGGGGTTTGATCCCATCTTTCCTGCCCTGCTTTTCCCGCCTTTTTCCTGCTTTTCCCGCCTTTTTTTCCCGGGATTTGATCCTGTTTTTCCCGCCTTTTTTTCCTGTTTTCCTGAGGTTTGATCCCATTTTTCCTGCCCTGCTTTTCCCGCCTTTTTCCTCCTTTTCCCGCCTTTTTCCTGGGGTTTGATCCCGCTTTTCCTGCCCTGCTTTTCCCGCCTTTTTCCTGCTTTTCCCGCCTTTTTTTCCCGCCTTTTTCCCACTGTTTGATCCCGCTTTTCCCGCCTTTTTTTCCCGCGGTTTGGTCCTGTTTTTCCCGCCTTTTTTTCCTGTTTTCCTGGGGTTTGATCCCATTTCTCCTGGGATTTATTCCCGTTTTTCCTGTGCTTTGATCCTGTTTTTCCCACCCTTTTTTTCCCGTTTTCCCATGATTTGTTCCCGTTTTCCCATGTTTTGGTCCCGTTTTTCCCGTTTTCCCATGTTTTGAGCCTGTTTTCCCGTGTTTTTATCCCGTTTTCTCGTGTTTTGGTCCCATTTTTCCCGTTTTCCCGTGTTTTGAGCCTGTTTTTCCCGTTTTCCGTGTTCTGACCCCGTTTTCCCGTGTTTTGAGCCCGTTTTTCCTGTTTTCCCGTGTTTTGAGCCCATTTTCCCGTGTTTTGAGCCCGTTTTGAGCCTGTTTTTCCCATGTTTTCAGCCCATTTTTCCCGTTTTCCCATGTTTTGATCCCGTTTTTCCCGTGTTTTGAGCCCGTTTTTCCCGTTTTCCGTGTTCTGACCCCGTTTTCCCGTGTTTTTATCCCATTTTCCCGTGTTTTCAGCCCGTTTTTCCCGGTTTCCCGTGTTTTGAGCCCATTTTCCCATGTTTTTATCCCGTTTTCTCGTGTTTTGAGCCCGTTTTCCCGTGTTTTGGTCCCGTTTTTTCCCGTTTTCCCGTGTTTTGATCCCATTTTCCCGTGTTTTGGTCCCGTTTTTTCCCATTTTCCTGTGTTTTGAGCCCGTTTTTCCCGTTTTCCCATGTTTTGATCCCATTTTCCCGTGTTTTGGTCCCGTTTTTTCCTGTTTTTCCGTGTTTTGAGCCCGGTTTTCCCGTGTTTTGAGCCCATTTTCCCGTGTTTTTTTCCCATTTTCCCGTGTTTTGGTCCCGTTTTTTCCCGTTTTTCCCGTGTTTTGAGCCCATTTTCCCGTGTTTTTATCCCATTTTCCCGTGTTTTTATCCCGTTTTTCCATGTTTTGAGCCCGTTTTTTCCCGTTTTCCCGTGTTTTGAGCCCGTTTTCCCCGCAGGGTTTCGCCTTCATCAGTTTCCACCGGCGCGAGGACGCTGCCAGAGCCATCGCCGGCGTCTCCGGCTTCGGCTACGACCACCTGATCCTCAACGTGGAGTGGGCAAAGTGCGCACCTGGGCACACCTGGGGACACCTGGGGACACCTGGGGACACCTGGGGGGACCTGGGGGACACCTGGCCACACCTGGGGAGTACCTGGGCACACCTGGGGACACCTGGGGACATCTGGGGGGTACCTGGGGACACCAAAAACACACCAGGGGGGTACTTGGGGGGTACCTGGGGACACCTGGGGACACCTGGGGGGTACCTGGAGACACCTGGGGACACACCTGGGCACACCTGGGGGGACCTGGGCACATCTGGAACACACCTGGGGACACCTGGGGGGTACCTGGGGAACACCTGGGGGAACACCTGAAACACCTGGGGGTATCTGGGCACACCTGGGGGGTACCTGGGGGTACTTGGGGACACCTGGACACACCTGGGGATACACCTGGAACACCTGGGGGGACTTGGGGGGGTACCTGGGACACACCTGGGGGGTACCTGGGAACATCTGGGCACACCTGGGGGGTCTCTCTCACCTGTCCTGACTCCCCTTTTCCTCCCCCCCAGGCCTTCGACCAACTGAGCCGGGTCTGGCGGATCCCAGCGGATCCCAACGGATCCCAGCTCATCCCAACGGATCCCAACGGATCCAAACGGATCCCGACAGATCCCAACGGATCCCAACGGATCCCAGCTCATCCCAGTTTGGCTCCAGTGGATCCCAGTTCAATAAAAGCTCCACTTCCGCACCTCCCTGGTTCCTGTCCTGTGATTTCCGGGCGGGAAAAGCGGGAATTCCGGGAATTCCGGGCGGGAAAAGCGGGAATTCCGGGCGGGAAAAGCGGGAATTGCGGGAATTCCGGGCGGGAAAAGCGGGATTTATCCCAGGAAATCGGGAATCGGGAATTTCTGGTGCGGAATCCACGGGAAATGGAGTTCTGGGTGGGAAAATGGGAATTTTCCCATGGAAAAAGGAGCAGGACCAGGCCCTGGGGGTGGATCCGAGTTTATTCCCGCTCCTCCCAAGGGGGAATTCCCGGAATTTTAATCCGGAATCTCGGGATTAAATTCCTGGGAGTTTTTTTTTCACCCATTTTTGGGGTTTTAGCCCCGTTTTTTCGGGGCGGTTTCACCTGGATTTGGGGGGATCCCAAAAACTTTTCCGGGTGATCCCAAAATTCCCCTGGGGACCCCAAAACTGCCCTGGGGGATCCCAAAATTCTGAGGGACCCCAAAATTCCTCCCAGAGACCCCAAAATTCCTCCTGGAGACCCCAAAACTCCTCCCAGGGACCCCAAAATTCCTCCCAGGGACCCCAAATTCCTCCTGGAGACCCCGAATTCCTCCTGGAGACCCCAAATTCCTCCCAGGGACCCCAAAATTCCTCCCAGAGACCCCAAAATTCCTCCTGGAGACCCCAAATTCCTCCCAGAGACCCCAAATTCCTCCCAGGGACCCCAAATTCCTCCTGGAGACCCCAAAATTCCTCCCAGGGACCCCAAATTCCTCCCAGGGACCCCAAAACTCCTCCCAGGGACCCCAAAACTCCTCCCAGGGACCCCAAATTCCTCCCAGGGACCCCAAAACTCCTCCCAGGGACCCCAAAATTCCTCCCAGGGACCCCAAATTCCTCCCAGGGACCCCAAAATTCCTCCCAGGGACCCCAAATTCCTCCTGGAGACCCCAAATTCCTCCCAGGGACCCCAAATTCCCAATCCCAGGGGGGTCAGGGGGTCCCAAATTCTTCCCCCGCTGGGATTTGGGGGTTCCAGGATGGAATTTTGGGGTTCCAAGGTGGAATTTTTGGGAATTCAGAATGGGATTTTTGGGTTTTTAAATGGGAATTTTTGGGGGGGTTCCAGAGCGGAATTTCGGGGTTCCAGATCAGGAATTTTTGGGGTTCCGGAGCGGAATCCTCTATATATAGGACGCGAATTTTGGGGTTTTTCTAATGGGATTTTTGGGGTTCCAGAGCGAAATTTTGGGGTTCCAGATCAGGAATTTCGGGGTTCCAGAGCGGAATCCCTTATATATAGGACGCGATTTTTCGGGGTTCCGGATCGGGAATTTCGGGGTTCCGGAGCGGGATTTCGGGGTTCCCGAGCGGGATTTCGGGGTTCCAGAGCGGGAATTTCGGGGTTCCGGAGCGGAATCCCCTATATATAGGACGCGATTTTTCGGGGTTCCGGAGCGGAATTTCGGGGTTCCAGAGCGGAATTTTGGGGTTCCAGAGCGGAATCCCCTATATATAGGACGCGATTTTTTTGGGGTTCCGGAGCGGAATTTCGGGGTTCCGGATCGGGAATTTCGGGGTTCCGGAGCGGGAATTTCGGGGTTCCGGAGCGGAATCCCCTATATATAGGATGCGATTTTTGGGGTTTTTCTAACGGGATTTTTGGGGTTCCGGAGCGGAATTTCGGGGTTCTGGATCGGGAATTTCGGGGTTCCAGAGCGGAATCCCTTATATATAGGACGCGATTTTTCGGGGTTCCGGATCGGGAATTTCGGGGTTCCGGAGCGGAATCCCCTATATATAGGACGCAAATTTTGGGTTTTTCTAACGAGATTTTTGGGGTTCCAGAGCGGAATTTCGGGGTTCCGGAGCGGAATCCCCTATATATAGGATGCGATTTTTGGGGTTTTTCTAAAGGGATTTTTGGGGTTCCAGAGCGAAATTTTGGGGTTCCAGATCAGGAATTTCGGGGTTCCAGAGCGGAATCCCTTATATATAGGATGCGATTTTTCGGGGTTCCAGAGCGGGATTTCGGGGTTCCGGATCGGGAATTTCGGGGTTCCGGATCGGAATCCCCTATATATAAGACGCAATTTTTCGGGGTTCCATATCGGGAATTTCGGGGTTCCGGATCGGAATCCCCTATATATAGGACGCGATTTTTGGGGTTTTTCTAAGGGGATTTTTGGGGTTCCAGAGCAAAATTTTGGGGTTCCAGATCGGGAATTTCGGGGTTCCGGAGCGGAATCCCCTATATATAGGACGCGATTTTTCGGGGTTCCGGAGCGGGATTTCGGGGTTCCGGATCGGGAATTTCGGGGTTCCAGAGCGGAATTTTTGGGGTTCCGGAGCGGAATCCTCTATATATAGGACACAAATTTTGGGTTTTTCTAATGGGATTTTTGGGGTTCCGGAGCGGAATTTCGGGGTTCCGGAGCGGGAATTTCGGGGTTCCGGAGCGGAATCCCCTATATATAGGATGCGATTTTTCGAGGTTCCGGAGCGGGATTTCGGGGTTCCCGAGCGGGATTTCGGGGTTCTGGATCGGGAATTTCGGGGTTCCGGAGCGGAATCCCCTATATATAGGACGCGATTTTTCGGGGTTCCGGATCGGGAATTTCGGGGTTCCGGAGCGGAATCCCCTATATATAGGACGCGATTTTTCGGGGTTCCGGATCGGGAATTTCGGGGTTCCGGATCGGGAATTTCGGGGTTCCGGAGCGGAATGCCCTATATATAGGACGCGATTTTTGGGTTTTTCGAATGGGATTTTTGGGGTTCCGGAGCGGAATTTCGGGGTTCCGGATCGGGAATTTCGGGGTTCCGGAGCGGAATCCCTTATATATAGGATGCGATTTTTGGGGTTTCTCGAACGGGATTTTTGGGGTTCCAGAGCGGAATTTCGGGGTTCCGGATCAGAATTTCGGGGTTCCGGAGCGGAATCCCCTATATATAGGACGCGATTTTTGGGGTTTCTCGAACGCGATTTTTTGGGGTTCCGGAGCGGGATTTCGGGGTTCCGGATCGGGAATTTCCGGGTTCCGGATCGGAATCCCCTATATATAGGATGCGATTTTTGGGGTTTTTCTAACGGGATTTTTGGGGTTCCGGAGCGGAATTTCGGGGTTCCAGATCGGGAATTTCGGGGTTCCGGAGCGGAATCCCCTATATATAGGACGCAATTTTTGGGGTTTTTCTAACGAAATTTTTGGGGTTCCGGAGCGGAATTTCGGGGTTCCGGATCGGGAATTTCGGGGTTCCGGAGCGGAATCCCCTATATATAGGACGCGATTTTTGGGGTTCCGGAGCGGGATTTCGGGGTTCCGGATCGGGAATTTCGGGGTTCCAGAGCGGAATTTTTGGGGTTCCGGAGCGGAATCCTCTATATATAGGACACAAATTTTGGGTTTTTCTAATGGGATTTTTGGGGTTCCGGAGCGGAATTTCGGGGTTCCGGAGCGGGAATTTCGGGGTTCCGGAGCGGAATCCCCTATATATAGGATGCGATTTTTCGGGGTTCCCGAGCGGGATTTCGGGGTTCCGGATCGGGAATTTCGGGGTTCCGGATCGGGAATTTCGGGGTTCCGGATCGGAATCCCCTATATATAAGACGCAATTTTTCGGGGTTCCATATCGGGAATTTCGGGGTTCCGGATCGGAATCCCCTATATATAGGATGCGATTTTTGGGGTTTTTCGAACGGGATTTTTGGGGTTCCAGAGCAAAATTTTGGGGTTCCAGATCGGGAATTTCGGGGTTCCGGATCGGAATCCCCTATATATAGGACGCGATTTTTGGGGTTTTTCTAACGGGATTTTTGGGGTTCCAGAGCGAAATTTTGGGGTTCCAGATCAGGATTTTCGGGGTTCCGGAGCGGAATTTCGGGGTTCCGGATCGGGAATTTCGGGGTTCCGGAGCGGAATCCCCTATATATAGGACGCAATTTTTGGGGTTTTTCTAATGAGATTTTCGGGGTTCCCGAGCGGGATTTCGGGGTTCCGGATCGGGAATTTCGGGGTTCCGGATCGGGAATTTCGGGGTTCCAGAGCGGAATCCCTTATATATAGGACGTGATTTTTCGGGGTTCCGGAGCGGAATTTCGGGGTTCCGGATCGGGAATTTCGGGGTTCCGGAGCGGAATCCCTTATATATAGGATGCGATTTTTGGGGTTTCTCGAACGGGATTTTTGGGGTTCCAGAGCGGAATTTCGGGGTTCCGGATCAGAATTTCGGGGTTCCGGAGCGGAATCCCCTATATATAGGACGCGATTTTTGGGGTTTCTCGAACGCGATTTTTTGGGGTTCCGGAGCGGGATTTCGGGGTTCCGGATCGGGAATTTCCGGGTTCCGGATCGGAATCCCCTATATATAGGACGTGATTTTTGGGGTTTTTCGAACGGGATTTTTGGGGTTCCGGAGCGGAATTTCGGGGTTCCAGATCAGAATTTCGAGGTTCCGGAGCGGAATCCCCTATATATAGGACGCGATTTTTGGGTTTTTCGAATGGGATTTTTGGGGTTCCAGAGCGGAATTTCGGGGTTCCGGATCGGGAATTTCGGGGTTCCGGAGCGGAATCCCCTATATATAGGACGCGATTTTTGGGGTTCCGGAGCGGAATTTTGGGGTTCCAGATCAGGAATTTTGGGGTTCCAGATCAGAATTTCGGGGTTCCGGAGCGGAATCCCCTATATATAGGACGCGATTTTGGGGGTTTTTCGAACGGGATTTTTGGGGTTCCAGAGCGGAATTTCGGGGTTCCAGATCAGAATTTCGGGGTTCCGGAGCGGAATCCCCTATATATAGGACGCGATTTTTTTGGGGTTCCGGAGCGGAATTTCGGGGTTCCGGATCGGGAATTTCGGGGTTCCGGAGCGGAATCCCCTATATATAGGACGCGATTTTTCGGGTTTTTCGAATGGGATTTTTGGGGTTCCAGAGCGGAATTTCGGGGTTCCGGAGCGGAATTTCGGGGTTCCAGATCAGAATTTCGGGGTTCCGGAGCGGAATCCCCTAGGAATCCCCTATATATAGGACGCGATTTTTCGGGGTTCCGGAGCGGGATTTCGGGGTTCCGGATCGGGAATTTCGGGGTTCCAGAGCGGAATCCCTTATATATAGGACGCGATTTTTGGGGTTCCAGAGCGAAATTTCGGGGTTCCAGATCAGAATTTCGGGGTTCCGGAGCGGAATCCCCTATATATAGGACGCGATTTTTCGGGGTTCCCGAGCGGGATTTCGGGGTTCCCGATCGGGAATTTCGGGGTTCCGGAGCGGAATTTTGGGGTTCCGGAGCGGAGTCCTTTATATATACGATGCGATTTTTGAGCTCTTTATAATGGCATTTTCGGGGTTCCGGAGTGGAATTTTGGGGTTTCGGATCGGGAATTTTGGGGTTCCGGAGCGGAATTTTGGGGTTCCGGAGCGGAATTTTTGGGGTTCCAGAGCGGAATTTTGGGGTTCCAGAGCGGAATTTTTGGGGTTCCAGAACGGAATTTTGGGGTTCCAGAGCGGAATTTTTGGGGTTCCGGAGCGGAATTTTTGGGGTTCCAGAGCGGAATTTTTTGGAAATTGGATGTGATTTTTAAGGTTTTACAACAGGATTTTGGGGTCCCAGGTTGGGATTTTGGGGTCCCAGGATGGGATTTTGGGGTCCCAGGATGGGATTTTGGGGTCCCAGGTTGGGATTTTGGGGTTCCAGGATGGGATTTTGGGGTCCCAGGTTGGGATTTTGGGGTTCCAGGATGGGATTTTGGGGTCCCAGGTTGGGATTTTGGGGTCCCAGGATGGGATTTTGGGGTCCCAGGATGGGATTTTGGGGTCCCAGGTTGGGATTTTGGGGTCCCAGGATGGGATTTTGGGG